ACACACACACACACACACACACATATATATATATATATATATATACATATATATATATACATACATGTATATATATATATATACATACATATATATACATACATGTATATATATATTATAATTTTTAAATGTATATAAGGACTGGCCGCAAATTTACGTCGGATGGTGATGTCCGCCTTGCAGTTGGGATGGTGCGCAGACCAACAACCTATTTATTTCAGAGAGATGAATATATAAAACGCAATTATAGTGACATTTCCACAGAAATATGGAGAAAAAATAAACAAATTCCGATGGAGGAAGCAATCGAATACCTAATTTTATTGTTAACTATCAACCGGCTTATGATATGACTATGAACTGGATTTGTAACATTTATCCATTGCGCAACAGCTCGGTCGCACGCACATTCGCGTCGTTCACACGGCCTATGTTCGACTCCGTCTTCCCACCGATGCGATCTAACTGTTGGTTTTGCTTTGAAAGTTCCACGTTCATATCCTTGGCCTAATTAAAAATAGCAAGGTTTATGGCTAAAGTTGAGCTCAGTACAAAATAATATTCAATCTCCAATAGCATCGATTCGAACACTAATAAGAAAGCTTTCGCCCGATATGAGAATTACTTATTGATAATAACGAGCTCGACGAGTAATGGTGCTGGATTCGCACCCACACCCTGAGCAAGCTCAGCAGCGGAATGACAAATTAAGGCTAATTGCTGATTATTCTGCTCACTGGTTAACTATCATGTTGTCATTAAAAATAATACAAGGTTCGCCTACATACCCATATAGGTAGGCTCGTAGCGTAAAGTAGACCATTCCCGCCTACAAACCAGCAATATTACTCCGAGCAACTTGGGCGCTAATGTAACTTTTTCAGCGATGTCTAATTGCTGAAAGTTCGCTGGTCAGCTTTGAACACTCAGGATAAAAGGGAGCATTCTTCAAATCAAGCCCAACTAAAACGCAAACAAGCTATAACCAACAAACATACCTGCGCCTTCAGGTCGCCAAGGATACCGCCGACCATGTCTAGATTCTCTTCCATTTCATCCTCGCGTGCATCATTCGTGATACGCTTCATTCGTGCTGCATCAGCAGAAAACCAATTACAGTAAGCACGCTGTCATTTTTCTTGGCTATAAAGTGCGCGACGCATCGCCGAACAAGCAATAATTGAGACAGATCTCGATCATATTCATACTTCAACTAGTACACATACATACATACATACATACATACATACAAACACACATAAATACATACATACATACATACATATACACACACACACATACACACACACACATAATAATATATATATATATAATATAATATAATATAATATAATATAATATAATAATATAATATAATATAATATAAGATTATAATAATATATATATATTTATACATACGTACATACATAAATATACACAAATGATACACAAAAATATAAAATGTTTCAAGGATATGTACCTCCTTCTACAGCAGACGAGCCCTCGCCCGCGCTAGTCGTAGCCATCTTGTTACCAGTGGGCTGTGAGTTTGTGACGGTGGCGCTTTTAGCGCCAAAAGCCTTTGAGTAGTCTTTTGATCCCTCTGGAAATTTGAGGAGATGATGGTATGTGAGAAGCAATGGATAACAGGTGTGCACGTGAAGTACGGCGTCAAATAATATGGAATGATAAACCACCACTATGATACGACAGTTGAAGTTGAAACATCAATTTAGAGATAACATAGATTTCAGCTCGCAACAAGATGCTAGGTGTAAGTATTCATAACTTGGACTACACTGAAGAATCCACATACCGAAATTCTGCGCTTTATTCCACGGACAGACACAAAGCCTAGCAGATGATGGAAAAAGAGCGGAGAAGGAGTTGGAAGATAATACCTTTAGTGAGGTTACATAGATCAAGAAATTCAATTAAACAAGTAGGTATCAATAAAGTGCCATACATGGGGTTGGATGGAGGGCAGGTGAGCACGGATACCAAGCGCGCTAATCTATGCTATCTCTCCCGACAGAAAAATATCGGGACATCAACATAAATATATATATATATATATATATAATCGAGGCCAGACACACCCGCAAAACTTCTCCATCTCAGCTATGTGCTGTTCTCCCTGCCTCATATCGGCATTGATTTTATCGAGATCCTTCTCAACATTGTCCAATTGCCCTATGATCGGTGGGTTTGTCGAAATATGCTGTGAGAGTAGGCGGAATGGGGGCTATCGCAGAAATATAAGAAATGATACATTTGACTAGAGTCTAGAAATTGAAATTACACCAAACCCACATAGAGAGTGCACTACCCAGAAGTGACGTGTAACGAACTTACTTCCTTGATCATCCAATTTTTCTAACGTTGACGCTCCGACTTGACGCGACTCCTCCGCCATCTGGCGCATTCGCCGAGTACTATGTATATGAGCAAAGCACAGTATAGTATAAACTTCAGTTATAGATTTACAGAGCGAATAACACAGATAGTTGAAACATGGCCGACCTTGGCTGAATCATGTTCACATGTCGGAGACAGATTCCAGATAGTGCAACAGCGTATATAAACACATTTAAGTTAAGGGTACGAACAAGATTTCGGGGACACGTTCGATAGATTAAATTAACTTGATTTCTAAATTATTGTTCGAGACATTAAAGACGAGAATCCTTTCCCGCCTCTACCAAGTAGCTCAATTTTAGTTCACAGATTGACACATATTGCAAGCAATACTAGTATTTACAGTTTCGGCACGAAGCTAGTCACCAGCTAATGAAAGGTGGATACAAGCGCACAACACGTCAGAAGCTAAAAAAACTCATTGTTTTTGAAATGGTTTGACAATACTAGTATTTACAGTTTCGGCACGAAGCTAGTCACCAGCTAATGAAAGGTGGATACAAGCGCACCACACGTCAGAAGCTCAAAAAACTCATTGTTTTTGAAATGGTTTGACAAATCCACATTACAGAGAGCGAATAGACACCAACTGTCGTACAAAAAAAAGAAGTAAGACTGCATTCATTATATCCAGTACACTAACATGACACCGTACGCAACAGGAACACAGGAAATAAGTAAGAACAAGCGGACAACAAGAAGCTGGCGGCACAACAGAACTGCTTCACAATGAGAAGTAGAACATGGTACAGTGTAGGGATTTCATGTCAATGTTAAATTAAATAAGAACACAGGGTATAATTGGCATCTGGCACTAACATCTATGTTAGAAGAAGACAAGCTGAAAAGGTCTAGGCACTAACATCTATGTTAAAAAACACAGGTTGAAAAGGTCTAGGCACTAACATCTATGTTAGAAAACACAGGCAGAAAAGGTCTAGGCACTAACATCTATGTTAAAAATACACAGGCTGAAAAGGTCTAGGCACTAACATCCATGTTAAAAAAACAGGCTGAAAAGGTCTAGGGACTAACATCTATGTAGAAAAAACCACGGGCTGAAAAGGTCTAGGCACTAACATCTATGTTAAAAAAACACAGGCTGAAAAGGTCTAGGCACTAACAACTATGTTAATAGTACACAGGCTGAAAAGGTCTACCAGTGCGGTTGGTAACCTCGTAGAGTGAGGTACGACTCACACCATGGTTTCAAAGTGTGTAGTCACAGCATCCACTGGCACACACATATGGAATAGACATGTAAGATATATGCACAAACGTAATTCTCTCGCATAAAAACTTATGGTATGCATGCCTCAGATAGAAGAAATAATTATACCCCTCGTCTATGCTGTAGAGTTTGAGTACACACACCGGCGTGACGAAATATTTTGTTGTTGTTAATTAAGGCCCTCGGGAACTCAAAATCATTGCAGACCCTTCAATACCCACTGGTTGTGACCACCAGCCCTACCCACAAAGATGGGCAGCGTGTGTGACAGTGAGTTTCTACTGTGAAAGCTATAGACAATCGCCACTGGAAAAATAGCATGGCTGGTAAAAATAATCATGGAATGACAATCGCACACTTCAAGAAGCTCAACAAATTCACACGTGTGGTGAACGTTGTACAGACACCTCTAATACACTTGAACCAAAGCACAGCACAGTACATACGCTTCAAGGGACTCATTGGTAGTCTCGTTGGCTTGTGCGCGCAGATTTGCAATTTGCTCCTCTTCGGACGCCATTGTTGCTAAAGACTAGAGTGTTGTGATGTAATAAAGACAATACCCTTTGCAAAGCTCACAATAGGTACACACCACTACCAACTACTAACCCTCAACCTTTCGTATTTAAAAATAATTAAAGTATGTATAATAAAAATAAAAATATATAGATTTAGATCTACAGTATTTATATTTACGAATTTTGTAAAATTTATATTTCCTATTACCCAAACCCCTGTATTCCTGGTTGTGCGAACCTTAGGGCAAATTTGGGCCAAACCCAATAAAAGAGTACTCGGGAGAAATTCTAAATTTAGAATGACGGGCACCGAAAGTCCTAAACTCCTAAAGCAGAATCTGCGACTCTCTCGAGAGAGCTCTCAGACACACAGCGAGAGAGAGACTGTGAGAGAGCGAGAGAGAGACTGTGAGAGAGCGAGAGAGAGACTGTGAGAGAGCGAGAGAGAGAGAGTGAGTGGGATGGACAATTGGACAGTCTTCAGTCCTGGACTCCTGGTGGGTAGAATAATAACTGAATACATACATTATAGCTGCTTAAATATATAGCGTGTACTGAATTCTTCGCAAGTCTGATACGTGGGTTTAGCAAAATGTTGAATGCACTCAGGAGACAAGCAACAAGCCAGGCTGCGCATGGTAGTGCACTTGCACACAGCCGGGCGCTGTTCAATGTAGCAACGCAAAGGTCACTTTTCGCACTATCCACAAGAACTAGTGGGCTACTGCAACCAATCCACGCCCGTTCATACTGCGTTGTACCAGGTATTGGTGTTTGGATTATATGTACTACATGCGTTTGTATATTAGAAGTACGCGTACGAATGAATACGTCTCAATTTGATAAACTGCTCGTTTTCGCGTTATTTACAGCCTGTTCCGTGTTCAGGAATATGTGTACGATGATATTGAAGTGCAGTGTATTGAAACAAGTATGTGCTTCTTCTCTTTTTATTCGCTGCTTATATGTGGGAAACGAATGTATGAATCGAGGGATTCAAGCTTGCTTGAATGACATCAATACTTTAATTGTTATTTTTTTAATATACGCACCCCAAAACACACAAAAAGCACAAATACGCAACAACACGAGATTTGAACGCGGAATACA